TGCTCAAGGTTCCTGGATTAGAGTCTGACTATGGCAGGTAATTATTTATTGTTACATCAACCCTAGAATCAGGAGACCCTTCTGGGGCTCACCCAGCCTTTAAAAAGTGGTTGCTCTTAAATAAATAATTAATTAATTAAGGAGAAAAATCTGTTGTTTAAGCGTTATTCTGGCCCAATCTCCTCTGCACAACCATTGGCCTTGAAACAGCATTTCTTTTCGAAGTTCTGAACCTAAGGCCCTTTATAGGTTGTAGTGGTTCAGATTTTAATTAAAATGTTAAATTAACTGATTTTTGTTTGTGTGTGATTTAAGAATGAATATAATCTTTTTCTAATTTAAGCTTCTTTTCTGAATTTTCGTTAGTCATTCTTACTAATTTCTCACCTAATGATATGATTAGTAATTTTTTTTAAATTTTTTTTACAAATTCTTTTTTTTTTAATAATAACTTCCACAATTAAATAATTAATCCTTTGAATCTTAACTTTCAATATTTGAGAAATGTTTTCTAATAAATAGTACAATTTTTTTTTTAAATTGACATGCACCACAGTCTCATCAGGCTTATTAAATATTACTATACATTTTTTGATGCCATATTGATTCCAATTCAAGATTAAGCATATTTAAATATTCATTTTAATTAAATAATATCATCTATTGTGAGATCACGGTAAATTAAAGTTAATAAATATTTTTATTTGTTTTCTCCTATTAGTGATCTTTAGAAGTGCCATTCATTTTGTCTTTATGTCTCATACAGTTAATCTATACCATACGTATTTGTTTTTAGTTGCAATAATGATGCTTAAATGACTACATTTATACAAACATAAGGATAAGTAAACAAACAATGAATTGGCTATAAAAAAAAAATTAAATTAACTTCAAGAACACTGCAGAATAAATATCTAAATATGAATGAATAGACCTGTTAATTTTTTAATAAAAACTAACTTCATTTTTAAATAAATTAAATTAATTGTGAACTAAAGTAATCATTTAATTTGAAAAAGAAATTAATTATATCTTCAATTTCTCTCTTCTTCTTTTTCTTCCTTCATTTGTCTTTTAATTTAAGCATTTGGATGCTTCTAACCATCGATGTGATATGTGGTTTATTCAAGTTGAGCCATAATAACACAGTATCAATAGTAATTCTTGATGACTACTTAAAATCAAAACGAATATATACATAATCAGTTTTATTGTGATCTTAAATATTTTTTTATTAAATTAGGTTGATTTTATTTTCCAATTTTTTTGGTTTCACAAGCTCTTAATTCAACTATTTATAAGACAATCTATCCTCTCCCCCTCAATGGTTCATTGTTGCTATTTTTTTCTGAATTCAGTCTGTATACATTTATGTACGATTAGTCTGGATGCCCTATTAATTATCTTATGTTTGTATTCTATTACAATCACAGGAACATTTTTATTTGTTTTGTTTGTTGCTTTAAACTAGGAAGGTTAGTAATCTCTTCTTTTCAGTTTTTTGCTTCTTAGTTTTTTTTAATCACTTGGTTTGTAGTAACTTTGTCACACTTCTAATCATCAAAGAGTTTCTGATGTTGACCAATTCGAGGGAGAATATTAGTTAGTTGAGGGTTTAAATACAGGTGTTATAAAATAAAATATACTTTAAAAACAATTCCTTTATTCATTGGTTGATTTTAAATTAAAACCAAGTTATGTCATAATACAGCATAGTCTTGATAATCCCAGCATATAGATTGCCTGGTCTGTTTGTATTATCAAAATGTTAGATAGATAGAAAGAATGTTTATTGTTAAACAAAATAAAATAATCAAAGATCTTACAAATATTTCAGAAATAAATACAATTTTTCTTTGTTAATCTCTCTTTTTTTTTTTAACATGGACAATAATCCATCCGTCGGTCATCGCCTTTTATGATTAATAATAGTAATTAGTTTTTTTTGTTCAGTTTATTACATAGTAATTATAATTATGTAAATAAAATTAAAAAAAACAAAACGTATCACTCAATAATGCCAACTAATACTGCATGATAATAAAAAATAATAAAGTAATTACAATGTGTTTGAATTTATACCATTCATGCCTGATATATTATTTAAAATTATGGCCCAAGCAATAAATAAAAAAATAGTGATAAATTCATATTTAGACATCGAGACCCGGTGTTAATTAGAATTAAATAGTTCAACTAAGTATTTCCTATACTTTGGTATATTGCGGTTATAGAGCATGTTATAAAAAAATAAGTTAATATCAAGAAAAACGTGGATATTTGTATACATTGTGTCCATTGAGACTAATTTTTTATTCAGAATTTGTTTATTAACATCATTGAACTACATTTCTACCTTAGTTCACTCTTTTTTTTATCTCAATATTGATGATTCCGTTCTTATCCAAGTGGGCACCTAGATATTTGGACCATTTGGATTTGTATTAAATTTCCGAGTCATCCTGTTATAAGATTAGAACACACTTTCATACGTAAAATGAGCTGAGCTTAATTAATAAGGACTGTGACAATATTATGTAAATATACATGTGCGGTTTTCATAAATGCTATTGTTGTATTATTTAATATTTAATTGGATAGATTGCAGCTATATAAATATGAAAATTTGTATACATATAAGTTTTTGACTTATACAAATAAAAATACCCACAATGAAATACAAAGGAATATAGCATTTATAATTTTTACTTTCAGTTCTCCTTTGTCTGAAAATACTTATTTCTGTTAAGAAGAGGGTATAAGTGAAAGTCGTGTGATGTGCGCACCGCACCAGATTTTTTGTTATGAAAAAGTAGATTAAATTGGTTTTTAGTGTCCTCTAAAACTCTTAAACATGAATTTTCATAGAAATCAAAAATTGGAAATTTTATTACTTGATTTTCTTGGATTTTTTTTTTTTTTTCAGCCGTTAACTAAAGCATTCATAACTTTTCAGGATTTCTCCAAGTTTAACAGTCGTACAACCGTTGTAAAGTTGAACATTTGTTCTTCCAACCCACATCAATAACTTGGGTTTCATTACTTATAGAGCTAGAAATTAAGAAAAACTTCTGAAACATTTTTAGTTTATAGCTTTGCCTCTAATTTGTCATGTTGTAATATATAGGGCCATAAATCCCGAATAATTTTAATTCAAATCGATAGAATCGTCTTGAAGTTATCACAGTTTATGTGGTTACCGAAAAAATTTCAAAGGATCCAGTCTAGGTATAAATACTATGCAAAAAACTTTAATTTTTCGATTGCTATAAAAATTTGGATATAAGCTTTTTGAGGTGCGAACAATGAATATCAACTTTTTTTTCTAACTAAATAAATATTTATCTTCACACTGCTACATGAAAGATTTTTTTAATGTACCAATGCGTTCAAGTTTATTTCTATTTGGTTATTTCTGTAATAATATGTTTTTTCAATTATATTATTTTGTTTATTAATGGCTACCTGTAACTTTTCATCAGTCATTGTTTAAATTTAATTGCGCACTTCCTTAACTATAGGTTTATCAAAATGGAGATCTCGTGAATTTGTTTGATCAAAATCTCATGAAGTTTTTCGTACCATTCTCGTACAATATGTTCATTTGTGATTCAGTTTTTATCTGTTCAGATTACTCTTATTGTTTTGAAAATTCGTTAACTCAATCTGGACCCTGTGTAGAATAATAAACATTAACAATCAAGTTTCACCTTTTTAATTTTATTATTATTTAATTTAATTCTGTAAGAAATATTCAAAGAGTTATTCTAGTTAATCCCTGTTGACACTGCCATCCTATCCTCTCACTCGGATCCTCTAATAGCGTCCCGGAACCTGCAAAGACACCTCTCCTTCATTGAGCAGTGTTGCAATAACTGGCATCAAAATTAATGAATCAAAATGCAAGCATGTAACTTTCACTCTTCGATGCAGATCCTGTCCGCCAATCCTTTTTAATTCAATTCCTCTTCCCTACTCAGACACAGTCCGATACTTTGGCTTCCTTCTGGACAAAAGACTGACTTGGAACCCATACGAGACTTAAAGACAAGAGCTTAACCGACGATTTGGTCAGCTATATAGACTACTAAACAGAACATCTCATCTCTCAACAGAAAACAAATTATTAATCTACAAGACCATACTGAAACCTATCTGGACCTACGGACTAGAACTGTGGGGGACAACTAAATCATCGAATACCAAACGCATCCAATCCTTCCAGTCCAAAGTCCTTCGAAAATAGTCAGTGCTCCATATTATGTCACGAACAAGACCCTACACCATGACCTTAACATCCCATATGTCCATGACATCATCCCATCCAGATTCTCCAACTTTCACCAGAACCACCTCATTCATCATCCCAATCCTTTCACAAACCCTATCCAGCTCCGAGCATCCATACCATCCCCCTCGAAGGTTGAAACGGCAGTGGCCTCGAGATCTTTTGTAAATATGCCTTTGGAGTTGGCAATGGCCAGCTTCTCCACTCATGTCCTGAGCATCTGTGGCTCTAGTGCCCTCTTTCAGTCTCCACTGGCTTCTAATACTAGTGATGCGGCTGGAAAAGTGGCACTGGGATCTTCCGGAGTCTTGCTTTGCCCTACACCTGTGGGGGAAAAGCCTGGCTCGGAGATTCCTGGGCGAATGTATATATTGTATATAGTATGATTGTGTTTAGAAGTTTTTATTTTATTTTATTTGTTTATTTTTTTTTTTTTTTAACTTCTTCATCAGTATTATATATTTACTTCTTATATTTATATTTATTTCTTTATTATTTGTATATATTGTATGAATGAGAACTTTTAACCCTAATGCTTATAGCCCTCCAGCAGTGGCTGATTGTATTATTATTCAATAAACAGATTTAAAAAAAAAAAAAGTTAATCCCTGCATGTTTTCTGGTTTAATTATCATTGATAGTCTTGTCTTAATTTTAGATTGGAAGCAGCAGCAATGTAGATATTGGAAGAACACGAGCACAGGATGATGCCATGGTTGGATATATATATCAGCGCCCAGAGGATCAGTGGACTCACAATTTAGTTCAAGTAAGTTTTATGATCTTCTTATTCATTTATTTATGTTTTAAACATGGGAGTTACAAAGTGAAGTAGTTAAACCAATGAAAAAAAAAAATTCAAATCTTAAGTAGACCATTCATGGGACCCGTGGCTGACATGCCTGAGTTTTGGCATGCTATAAGTCTCTGGTAATGGAGAATTGAGAGCTGACGCTAGATGTCAAATCTGTGGCATCTAGCATCCTAGTCGAGACTGAAACACGAGATAAAGTCTTTCAAGAGCGGGCACATTTATGAAGGTCCACTACTCAAGTGAGAATTTGGAAATTCATACAAAAAAGTTGAACTCACAGTTTAAAGTTGAAAATGAATTTTTAAAATTAGCTGCAATTGCACCTGGTAACACAAGAATTGATTACTTTTACTCTTCAACACTCACAACCAATTGGAGAGATCCACCTTGAAATTATTATTGTTCTGTTAGTTTTTCTATCAAATTATTTAACTATAAAAGTCAATGTTTCAGATCGATAAAACATAATTAAATTTATTCCTACTTGTCACTATTATATTATGAGAAATGTTAATTTGAAATGAGTGGAAAAAAACTCATAATTTGCTTAGGTCTTAGTTGTGGGTGCTGATGCTCTATCTTGTATTGTGCTTACTGAAAGGTTAGAAGGTGTTGTATGGGGGCTAAATAATAAGGGTGGCCGAGTGGGTTATCATATGTTGTGCCAAACATGCGTTTCCCAGCAATCAATAAACCGAAGTTTACAAGATAAAATAATTATGGGGAGAGAATGTTTGACAGCACCGTGCATTGCCCGGCAACCTGATGACTGAAATTTAATATTACTAAACAATTACGAGTTCAAATCCCGGTGCCCGGTGAAACATTTAACTTGGCATAATTCCCCGCCCTCTCTTTTTATTTTAAGTTTTATCTTTCTTGATACAGCACAGTGAGTAAAGTACTGTGCTCCTATGATCTGGGTCCTGGATTTAATTCTGGCTTTGATTAGAGGGAATGGTCTTGTATGGGTTAGAACTTTTTGTAGGCTTTAAAAATCTTGCCAAACTTGCAGTCAAGTTAATAGTGAAATGAGTTATTAACTATTATTAGTCAATGAATTAGTTTGTGTGATTTACGTGAACTTTATGAAGAAGGTTGTCAATCTTAAGGTTTATTATTTTGTCAGGTGTCAATTATGTTTTATTTATGTATACTAGAGCTCTAGTTAGGTTTGTTTAGTCTCCATGGATGGTCTTATTTCTGAGAAAGAAATATAGGTCCTTATGCGTGATCGCATGTTAAAGCATAATCTTTAGCATCTCGAGTCTAACTCTCCTGCATGCCAGAAATAGCCAGTCAGAGGTATGGAGAAAAAAAAAAGGTCTTTGTGCCTACTGATCCTGATCAACCATAATCTGGTTATATTTGATTTTTTTGATTGGATAGATTTGATTTGTTACTGTCCTTGAACACTAGCGAGTTGGAGGAAATACATTGCTATGTTCCAAAAGGATCGGTTATAGGCTATGGTAGCTGGAAATCACTGTTAGATGCATCATGAGGTTGGGTAACTCTGTAAGCAATATATGTTATTTAAAAACTGCATCATGCGTCCAAAGATATTCATAGGCTATAGTGCCAACCAATAAAATAAAATGTGATAAATATTTGTAATTAACTCTAAAGAATTCTGAATAAATCAATCTGTTACAGGCTAGTGGTGACACAGTCATGTATCAAGATATTCGAGCATCCTCTCATCTTTCTGAAATGCAACCACGAAATGGCCAGGTAAGTTTATTATAAGTAATATTTTACGTGAGTTTTTTGTCCTTTAATTTTTAACATTAATGATTTTCTGAAACTATTTCTTTATGCTTTGCAAAAAATGAGCCAATAATTTTTTTTAATGTTCGACAAAGACACCTTTTTGAAGTAAGAAAAGACAAAAATCAGTACATTTTTTATGTAATTAACTATTAATATTAGTTTTATGACTTAATTTTATTAATTCCATTTATTAATGATATGTCTGTTATTAATTTATACATGCATTATTTCATCCACATGAGTATTGGTATCAGCATTATAATTTTATACAATATAATAGGAATATTGACTAGCGTACCTAGAGTAATAATGTTTAGCTATTAAAAACAGAGTGTCAGTTGTTATGGTAAAGTGAATGAATGTGAGTGAATTAGTGAATGAATCAAGAAATATGTATATATTTGGGTGGCATAACAATATGTTGCTAGATCTCATGATTCTGTAGTACTTTCTGCCACTTACAGTCGATCACTGCAGCATTCCAATTACAAATTGGGGAGAGGAATCCGACAAGTGAGCCTTTTGTTCTTTTTTGTCTATCTCAAAGAAAAACATACCAATGGAAATATTTTCCCTCCAACTAGAACCTTTTGGTTTTCCTAATGAAATTCAAAAGGTTTACTATTCAATGGATGAAGCCTTCTGTTTTAGATATCAGAACCTAAAATACTTTAAAGAGGGCTGTTTTCAATGCTTCTTGTTCATAACCTACTACCCCATGAATATTTAAGTGTCTTATGAGTCTAAAGTTATCTATGAATACACTAATAATCAATCACCTCTAATACTTGTGATTGCCTAGTTAAATGGATACTTACTCAAGCTTCAGTTTCTTAGAGCAGGCAAGAGTCTCTAATGCCTTCCAGTACTCCCTCACTAGAGTGGTGGTCAGTTTAGGGCTTGAAGAACTGACTGCCTATCTGAATAGATAGTGATCCCTTTCACAACTGATGACTTCCAAACTTGTTTGTGCAGACAAAATGGCAATTACATCTGCCTAAAATACCATGGAATATTTTTCCGATGACGTACGTAGCTTTTTAGATCTTTTTTTCAAAGATGATTATAATCTATTCCTCTTTCTTCATTATAGCCCAAGTACAGATTCATTTATGCTAATATCCTGAAGTACTTATTTATCAGTTTCTTCTTGTTCGACTCTAAAATGAACCACAAAAGCATCGGATTTTTTACACATTTTATCTGCAGATTTTTAATCAGTTTTTATTTTCTATTGAACCTGAATGAAAGTTTGAAGTAATATCGGCGAAGGATCTTTTTGGTCAACTGTTATTACTCTGATTGAATGTCAGGAAAGAAGCAATTCTTGATAAAGATGGTATAGAGAACGGCTCTCAAAAAAAAGACAATACTCTTTCCAGAAAACAGGATCACTGGAAAATTATTTGAGAATGGATACTTTTTCGTATAGATAATTACTGAGCATTGATAACGCCTTGCATTGAAAAAATAAACGCATGATGAGGAAGGCCAATTGCAACAGATATTTCTCATAAGATAGATTGATCCTCATATGATAGCAACAACTCAAATGTTCTGCGCAACTGGTCATATTAATCTCAAAATTTTGGAGTTCTCAACGTATAAATCGGTACTAAATACAATTTCTGAAATGACTTGCATTAAAATAGAATATCACTGTTATGATTCGGTGGGAAGGACAATACCAGATTGTTCCCAAAGGATTCGACTATGTATCTATATTTGTCCTATTGCTACGCTACTCCATGGAGAACATGGTCTGTACCAACATGAGATTGGGTGACCTCCCTAGGCTATCTATGCTCCCGCAAGTAAAATACATCTGTAAGGTGACTGTATCACAGGGCTAATGCCGACTTAAGAAAAAATAACTAATATCAATAAAATAATAATTCAACAAACAATACCCTTACCTAAAATTACAATTCGTTAATACATACAGTAGACCGTCAATTATCCGAACTAATGTTGTCAGGAGTGGTTCGGATAATCAAATATTCTGATAATCGAAATTCGCGTAAAAAAAATAAATGTATACGTAAAAGGAAAATATGAAACAATTAACAACAGTGTATAAAAAGCATGATTGTTTATTGGTATAAATACATATACCTACTTTCATATTGTTTATTGGTATAAATACATATACATACTTTCATATTGTTTATTGGTATAAATACATATACATACTTTGATATTGAAAAAACAAACCGAAAACACAACATAATGCTAAGAACGAAAATATGTCCATATATAGTTACGTGTATGTAAAACAGCAAATTCCAACAGTTCACTTTTACTTTTTTCATAGTTTATCGAATTGAGTTGCTTCGCTATAAAGATTATGTTTATACCTAGTGAGTAAATCAAAATTATTTTCAATTCCCGTTATTGTTGATTTACCAATACTGAACTCGATAGCTAATGTCTGACCTGATTCACCTATTTTAGCCATATAGTAATTTCCATTTTGTTGTTAATTTTAAAATAAAAAGTGATCACAAATGTGATCTATACCTCACAGAGAATGATTTAAAACTGATGAACGTGAGCTATCTATTACCAACCAAATGAACAGGAAGGGATTCAGGGAAACAAATGAAGTCACCTAATTAGGTATATGGTTCTCTGTAAAAAAATAGGTATAGAAGTCTTAAGTTCATTTTTTCCAGTTTCTGAGAAATGGGCTTCATTACTAGAAGAAAATGGTGGATATCTATAGAAGTGAGGCTATTGCAGAGTTTAGGATCAAAACCAGACATGACTATCTCCAAAGCCATATATACCGTATTGGAGTTGTCAAATCAGCAGCATGTCCACTGTGTCGACAAGGATTCATGTCATCCCTGCATCTTCTCCCTTGTAGAGTTAATGGTTTCTTTCTTTATCCTGTGCCTTGATCGCCTTGAGCTCTTTCGCCCATGTGGCATCTAGCAGCCCGGTAAATTTCACCTTTTGTCATGGCTTTGTTTCTAATGTCCTGTAGTCCGGGACAAATCAGTAGATGCAGAGCTATCATGAACCTTGTGGACATGTTGCTGATTCGACAACTCCAATACGGTATAGATGGTTTTGGAGATAGTCATGTCCGGTTTTCATCTTAAACTCTGCTACGCCCTCACCTCTAGACAGATCCACTGGTACTTTTCCATTTTCTTCTAGTAATGAAGCCCATTGCTTTTCCCTTAACCCCAACTGCCATTTCTGTTCCAATTCTTTAGTGATCACTGTTTTGATTAGCTTCTTTGCCATCAAGAAAGGGATGGGCATATCTGGCTGATCTTTTCCGACACCTCCTTTTGCTAATCGGTCAGCATTATATAGATGTTCATGGAAAAATTCATTTTGTTTTTCATTTAATTTTATTTAAAATAAAAATAATTTCAACAATACAAATAAATAATTAGACAATCAATTTAATTTTTTAAAAAACATTTAAGTTAATTGGACGTTCGGGTTATCGATGCTTCACTGTAATTATATTTTTAATTATCAGCTACAGACAACTTACTTGTTTTGGTTTTAATTACATCTCTTTATAAATTTAATATTAAATAAGAAGCGCAATAAAGCTAGACAGCAGTTTCATGAAAAGGGCATAATATGCCCATTTTTATAATATTTCTTAATTTCGATTTGAAGAAATTTAGCTATTTCAAAATAATAATTATCAAATATTCACAACTGGTGTAAAAGTGTACAGTTTTTATTGAAATATTATGAGCTTTGAATCAGAGAGCACGGACGAATCTACAGGGAGAGGAGGGGGAACTTTGGGGCTGAATGCCCCCCAAAATGGTAAAATATAACCCTGTTTTATGGAAAAAAATATTAAAAAATTATCTCTTAAAGTATTATTGTTTATGTAATTACATTTAAAAGGACTTTAGGAATCACTTAAACACCATTTCATATAGGTAGTTAGTTCCTTTCTTTTTTTCCAAAGTAATTATCGTTATTTTTATGAAATAAAAAGTTTTTGGGCTGAAGCAAGCCCTCCCTCCCTCTCTCCCCCATAATTAAATCCTGGATCTGCTAGTTACCGAGAGTGATATCCCATTATACGATACCTTTTCTATCTATAACTGGGTAGTATGTTTTTAAAAATTAAAATTAGGAAAAAGGGCCTATCAGAATATATTGCAGTATATATATATTTATATTGCTACTTTAAAAGAAAGCTGGAATAATTCTAAAATTTACAATTTTCCTTTTTTGAGTTATTATAATCCATCAAATGAATATGATTATACAGAAGTTGAAAAAAAATGAAATGTATGCGTTTCAGAAAGGTATTTTAGATTGGTATTGGTACTACTATTACCGTTATTAATTTCTGCTAACAGTGACTTGTTCTAAATTTTTTTTCAATTTTTGAGCCCAACTACAGGTATCATAATATTCCTTCCTACAAACCCAGACTTGCAAAGTCTAATCCATATGCATTATACTGTTAAATAAATAAATAAATTAATAAAATAAATACAAATATCAGTTCTAAATAAATAGTAGTGGATTCGAGATTTAATTTTAGGAGAGGAAAACATCTTATAATTGTTTTTTATTTTCAATCAGGAATCGGCAAACTTTGTCTTTTTAATTAGGTATTAAAAACTCGTAAATACCCATTTGCTTTCCACTTGGATCATAAGATAATTTGATCATAAAACTTATTAAAAAGGGGGTCCACAAAGATATTGACCCTTTAGCCTATACAATCCCGTTATTTTGACAACTTGGAGGTGTAGGTCATGCCAAAGGGCTCAATAATTTTGAAGACCACCTTTTTGTGCTCAAGGTATCTTAAGATTCAAGTAGAAAGCAAACGGGTATTTACGAGTTTTTAGTACTTAATCAAATATACAAAGGTTGTCAACCTCCATTTTGAAAATACCCCAATTCCGGGAATTTTCTTAAATAAAATATTTGAAGGTTAAGCTGAGATTAAGCTGTTTACGAAGTTTCAGACAGATGTTAATAATTTGATAAATAGTGGTCTTTATCATGGACTAAATGCTTTTAGGGATACAATTTTTATACTTGACATATGCTTATATATAGTATCTGGAGTATATACGTTATTATTTAAAAATTGTACATATTTAATTTTCGACATAGATTACTCTAAAAATAAATTAATTTCATATTTTTGGGGATCTTTAGCCCTAAATACTTCACCCTATTGTTCATTTATCATTTATCATTCCCCTACCCCCTTTGAACACGCTGGTAGTTCCTTAGAATTTGAGATTCAGTATCTTGAGCAACCGATAGTTTGCTTACTGGTTTTCAGTTTCTGATAGGAATCAAACTTGCAGGTATTCGAATTTTTCTTTACTAGCCTTTTATGCTATATGAGGGTTTTACCACGGGCCAGGAGGTATGTTGATGGATTAACGCTTGATTTGAAAGCCTCTTTGGCACCAAGACGTGAACTTGTAATTATTTTATTATCTTATTTATCAGATCGTCGGGCCATGCTTGTTCTGCACAGGCGTTAGACGGCCACGTTCCCTCTTGCAGGCATTAGATTCCAAAATTAGTCTTAACTTCCTAAAATACAAAATTAGGATTGCTTTAACGTCTTAAGGCAAAAAAAAAAAAAAATCCTAAATCGCCCGATGTTGGCTTTCTTTCCTAATTAGACTTCAGGCTTAGCTTTTCTGACATGGAAGAGTCTAGTTTCTGCAGTTCCATTAATTCTGAGAGAGCAATGTTAACCTCACGATGGTTAACAATCAATCATCTTGGTATAAATAAAATTTTCGTCATAATTTAGATCTTGGATTAAGTAATTCTTCTTCAAAATCGGCACATTTTTAAGATAGAGCATTGAAAAAGAAATAGTTGAGGAACTATTGTCAAAAAATAAAGGGAAAATAGTAAACCACAATATTTCACCTCTTTGTAGTAGTGGAGCCAAGGTCAT